GCATCAGCATTCATATTTACTATAAAAAGGGTACTTTATTTAAGTATGCCCATCACTGGTCTCAGCCGATTCCAATTTATGGTAAACGCCAAAAAAATATGAAACATACAGTTTTACGACACTTTCGAAAGGTTTTGAATTTTTTTATGAGAAGACTTTTAATGGGCGTGTAGCTCGCTTGTTGACCTTTATTTTTGCTTGCAGGAGCAGCAGTTAATAACCACCGTACATATGTATATCAGCACATGCATCGGTCATTAACGGCAAGAATTCTTATAGCAATAACGACACGTTTGTAGAGTTTTAAAATTGCACATCTGCTACTAAGCAAGCAGCGTTAATGTGGTTTCCTAAATTGAGATTGAAATCAGTTTATACAACCTTTCCCTTTTTTGCCTGTGAACACGTGTACATACAAAGCAAACTTTCTGCGCGATGATTCAGGTGAGCCTACCAAAGTCCGATGTTCTATGATAGCCACGAACGCAACAAGTATTGAGGAAATTTTTATTTCATATGCTGCATTTCATCTGCTGAACCCCCCACACCCGACTTCATTTCTGAAGTCCATCCAGTACTTAACTGAGCAGTGACAACAGCAGCAGTTTTTCATCGGCTCATCGATTCTACAATTAGGGCTTAATTATGTGCTTATTGGTATGGCAATAATCGGCGCACACGAGCCTCTGTGCCCTACATAACTATGTACATACGTATGTATATTAGGGTGGTCCAAAAATGCTTGTGAAAAAATAAAGTCAGAAATTATTATGCTCTCACCACCTAGGATTGTTCTATACCGAAACAAATATACCCTTATTTTTTTATGTTGAGATCAAAAAATATTTAGAGGTCGCTCAAAGCGCTCAAAGATTTCCATGTATTTTATATGGCGAAAAAAAAACAACTTTTCGTGGAAATGGTATAGAATAGTTAAAAATCCATATTTTTCTACCAGAAAACTGTTTATCTGCAGGAGATTCTCAATAATAATACCCAATTGTTTACTTAACCATTTTTTCATTGCAACTACAATTTATAGGTCCGCCAAAAACTCACAAAAACCCCGAAAAATGCAATGGGGGCGACCAACAACATGTTTAAAAAAACAACTGGGTATTATTACTGAAAGTCTCCAGAACCAGGGTTTTCCGATCCGATATTGACTTTCAAGAATTCTATACCATTTCTACGAAAAAATTTATTTTCCCCATATAAAAATACATGGAAAATTTTGAGCGCTTTGAGCTACTACCTCTAAATATTTTTTGATTTCAAAATAAAAAAATTTGGGTATACTTTTTTCGATATAGAACAATCCTTGGGGGTGAGAGCACTACAATTCCGACTTCACTATTTTTGGACCACCCTAATGTTTATACTACACTTATGTGTCTGTATGTAGGAAGGCATGAAAATTTATCTAGTGCATAAGAACGTGTTTGTTACCTATGAGTGCAGAAAATGGCACATCAGCAGCATACTCATGATATGAAAAGTGCTTCTCTGTAATGTTGCTGTAGCTGACTTACAGTTCTGCAATTGTACTCATTGACCACTGTAATGTGAAAAGCACTCCTTATGCCTGCCTATGGCCAATACTAGGAGTCGGCCAGTCAAATGTGGGTTAACGTTTCAAAAAGTATTTGTTATAGTCCAGTTAGACACAAAGTGCGTGGGCCTGGTAATGAATTAGGAATAACAATCAGCACATACGCGTGTCGGCCTTAACATTAAATTACTGTTGACAACTATGATTTCGAAAAAATAGACGAATTCGTTTATTTACGAACCATCAGTAACACCAATAATAATGTCAGCCTTCAGAAATCCAACGCAGAATTACTCTTGCCAACCCATGCTACTTTGAATTGAGTAGGCAATCGAGAAGTAAAGCCCTCTCTCGACGTACGAAAACCACACTTTATAGGCTGGCATTTGATTGGCTTATCTTAGTTTAAACTAGCCAACTCGAGCATTTAAACTAAGTTTAAGCCACAATCGTGCACTGAAAACCTGGCCTTATATAAGTCACTCATCGTGCCTGTGCAGGCGGCTCTTGGAGTTTTCGAGAGAAAAATTCAGCGGAGCTATGAGCCCTTAGCCTACTATTTAGTTTGTAAACGTAAAATTAATCCTTAAAAATTTCTTTCTATTTAAATGAGAATGTACATACTTACATAAAATATATTCTGCACATATGTATGTATATATTTATACCTGCTCCATTTTAAGTAATTTAACTGCTGCAATTTAATTCTGTCCTAATTTATGTATGTACATCTACTGCACTTCATTTCTAACGATTTGTGATGTGTTGACTTGTAGCGATTTGCCAAAGCTTTTTTTTGTTTTTCTTTGCAAAATATTGTTACAATCACTGCAACGCCAACAAATTGCGACCATTTTCGAAAAGCAGAGGTAGGGAGAATTTTTTAACTGCCAGAACTTGCAACACAACGTCGCCAATTAGCAAACGGAAACAAAGAAGTCCATTTGTGAGATTTTGTTGGCAGAAAGTGCGGCAAAAATTTTTGGCAATGAAACTGGAGAAATTTGTTTGAAACACAGGAAAAAATCGTGTGGCTTATGAACGTTTTTTTTTTTTTTTGAACACAAAGCAATGAGAAAGTGCACTGAAAAATACCCCATATTACACAGAAAGTAGAAATAAAAGAGTAAATTCTGAATGCTTCTATGCTGTTATAACCAAGATTGGTAGAAAAAGTTTGAGTAGATTTTTGTTAAAGTATGGAGAGGTATACAATTACACACTATATTTTTTTGCAAAAATATATATATATATATAAAAAAACACCAGTTTTTATAAATGGCAATTGTTAAATGAAAAAACACACAAACACAAAAGACCGGAGACAAAAAAAAAACAAAAATTTTAAATCAACAAGAATTTTTAGCTGCACATTGTTGGCTGCACTTAAATTCAATGGGCTATAAAACTGCAGACCCAAAGATGTTCTAAAAATTCAGAGAAAAAAAGTTCGAAAACTAGATGAGTTTTTTTTGAATTTTGCTAAACGTTGTATATAGCTTGAATTCATTATGTTAACGGGCTTGGTTAAAGCGCCAAATAAAATTCTTATACACAAAAAATAGCAAAAAACTTTTTCTTGAAAAACAACGTGAATAACGTGAAATAGTTCTTTCCTAAGGATTGGCCCTTAAACTTTAGGAATAGATAGCACAAAGTTTCGCAAGTCCTCCACAGTTTCCAATGAGACACTTGAATAAGAAATGTTCAACCAATTCAAATGAAGGATAAAACCAAATAACGGCAGAAAGAAAATTTAGCTAGATACATAGTATTTATGTAGCTTAGAGTTTGGCCGAGAAGCTATAGAATTCGCAAAATAGTTTGAGTCGAAGAAACCAAAAGAAAAATTGCGTGTAATCTAGTAGATGCACTAGATGGCTAAAGTTGTAAGTTATATGGAGCCTATTCCGGGGCTTTATATGTATATTCAAACTGTTTGAATTACAGCATTTTCTCACAGTGTATAAAAGAAATTTTGTAGTCGTTGTTAAGTTTGAAATTTTGAAGTCACCTTTCGCTTATTTAATTCTCAGCAACAATTTTACGATCAAATGAATGTTATGTATTTACATAGAAATTTGCGGAAAAGTAATTATTTCAATTATTCAAGCGAAAAATTAATGAAAATTTTAGAGGTTAAAATAATTTTCGCATTCAAGCAATGCAAACGCCCAAGTAAGTTGAGTTAAGAATAAACGTAGGAGCGTACGCATGTAGGTATTTAAATGCAAAAATATCTAAATCATCATGTTTCTGCGTTAACCACATAATTAAAAATTTTGGAGAAAATAGTCTACATGACCGGCAAAAAGTATTGGCACAGCAAATTTTTCACAATATATGCAATTTTTTTTCTATTATTTTTCCCCCAATTTTTTATAAAAATATGGTTTATTCTTCAACCAAAAACAAAAAAATATAATTCCTGAACTTTGTCCAAAACTCGCGAAAACTCAGCAAATTTTCAACTTTTTAATCAGGTTTTTTAGAATTTTTTTGAGTACGCAGTTTTTCAGCCCATTAAATTCTATTAAAAAAATGCAAATTAAGATTTAGTTAAAAATCGCATTGATTTTTAAGATTTTTTTTTGTTGAAGGTGTTTTGCATTTGTTCCATATAAAGTATTTTGGAAAAAAATTTTTTGTATGGAGGAGATTGCGTGAAAAAAATTTTAGGAAGTATATATATTTTATGTTTTTTGTTGTAGAATGAACCATATTTTTATGAAAAATCGGCGGAAAAAATTGTTGCATATATTGTGAAAAATTTGCTGCGCCAATACTTTTTACCGGCACTGTATATGTATGTACGAGGCTTCAAAGCTCGAGGACGACTAAACCGATTTGAATTTTATTTTTTGAAAATAGATTCGCGGACCCTCCGGAGTGGTAGCGCGCACTGCTAGCCACTACACCACAGCGGTCGTAAATAACTAAAGAAAATTCGTTGTGGTTTTAAAATACTACTATGCCCCATCGCATACTTTTTTTGTTGAATTTAGGAACCCTTTTAGCAAGTGTGATTGAATTCTTCCCCATTCCTCCTGCTTCCAAAAGCCATCCCTGTGGGTGGTAGTGTCAAAGTTTAAAGAAAACCTATTTACAAAATATATAAATTCTAAAAAAAAAATTGTTATTTGTTGACATTTTATTTGGATCTGCAACTTCCAAATCGATATAAAAAATGGTAACTAACTTTTACAAATGCTTTGGCACTTTTTCATCGTTCAACCAGCTTTTTCAAATTTGTTGCACTGTGTTGTTATTTATTTCGGACAAAAACTCAAATATCTTGAGAACGGGAGGAGATAGCGAAGTAAATGTAACGGTACTTTTGAATTTTTTAATTCACAGCACTACTAAGTAACACGATTTAACACGATATTAGTTTTTAGACTATACAGTACAATTTTATTGCATTGAGAAAAGATTATGCATGCGATGAAACAATAAATGTAACAAATGGTTGAAAATGAAATAAAAAATAAGATACAATATTTGACAATAAGTTAAAAAATCATGAATTGCCACAGTGTGCTAAAAATATTTTGTATTTACATAGTTGTACAAAATATTCGGCATGTATCGCCCTTTAAATCTCGCACTAGGATTTTTCGAGATAATCATTGGACCTTTGAGAGTAGCCCCTTTTCACTTTGCTCATCTCTTTTCAGGCAGTACCCTCCTCTCAACATAGTCGCGCTTGAAAATCACTTTGTAGAAAGTGGCACTGACAGCAGCACTAATCAGTGGGGCAGTCCAGTACACCCAATGATCCTGGAAATCATAATTCCATGCTGCAGCAGCAAATGCTTTGACTGGGTTACACATAGCGCCAGATAGTTGACCCTATTAAGAAACAAAATACACATACAAATACGTTAATAAGAGCGACGTACTCAGTACTTTGTATGTAAAACTTACCACCGATAGACTCAGACAAGTAACAGTTAAACCAAAACGAATTGGCAATGAGTCTTGAAATGCATTATTTCGCGCATCGGCTGCGCTGCAAGTAGTAATAATCAGCATAGCACTGGCGATAAATTCAATCCAAAAAGCCTGCATTGCAGTTATATCGGGATGTGGCGCCGGCACGCAGACACCATGAGCCGCACCACCCAGTGATATAGCGTTGGCTGGTACTAGCGCCTTCATGAGACCATAGCCAAGGAAAGCACCCAACAGTTGTCCGGCAAAGTAGACGCCGGACATAGTTAATGAGATCATATCGTAAATGTAGACGGCCAACGTAATGGCCGGATTTAAGTGCGCGCCACAAACGCAGCCGAAGCAGTGTACAATTACCATGACAACCAAACCGACATTTAGTGACGATTGTAGGGGACTATTCGCAAAGTTCGCATTCTGGACACATCCCGTACAGCCGAGAAAAACCAACATGCCGGTGCCGATGACCTCGCCGAGAAATTGGCAAAATTTATCCATAGTGCTGACCTTGATGTTGAATTTATCCAACAAACTGAAAAATTAATAAAACGCGATTAAAATATGCGGTAGGGTCATTCCATGTAAAAGAGGAAAACGATAAAAATTTTAAAATACCCTTCGACATTTTTTTTGTATGGAAGCAAATATGTAATAACACCACCCGCAAAATATATCGAAAATCAACGCGAATAATGGCCCTATTTTGTTAGTAAATTAACTTTTCTAAATCGCTTCATAATCATAACTTTTAGGGGAAAAAAAAAACACTTGAAGAAATGCGTTCAATTTATACAACTCTTGCGTTATCAAATTTACAAAATTAAAAAGCCGAAAGCCGGAATGCCAACTGATATTGTTGTTGTTTAGCTTATTAAGTTTATATCTGGAGTGTGTTTGATAATTGCGCCTAATGAATTCGGTTGGTTAGGGTGTTCAATTCGAATTCGAATGAAAGTGAGAGCGAAACTTGAATGTGGGTATTTTTTTTTATTGTTAATTAAATAATGCACTTATTTTTTGTGCTTGGGAATTACCAAAAGCCTTTCGGTCCCATATGAAAATTTCGTTGTCGGTCAAACACAAATAATTGCTTCAAAATTTCTGCACTCGATCTTCATCTTTCAGTTAGCGCTCGCAATAATAAGAACTTTTAATAAACAAATAGTTTTTCTCCCACTTTTTTTTTAAAAAACAATTAAATATAAATGAACATACAAACATAAAAAAATACGTTTCCATGTAGGACCGAAAGAAAAAAATATATTACTTTTGTTTGACACAGTCTAATGTATATATGTATAATGCACAACCAACCTTTTTGTCCATGGAATCGGTTCTGCTATCCGTTCATATGTCGGCAGTTGTAATGATTCTAGGCCCATTTTATATTTTGGACAATTTAATTCAATAGTCTTTATTTAACTCTATAATTATCTACAGATATGTCCACTAAAATTATACAATATCACTGTCTGTGATCACGTGACAAGATTAGAACCGGTAATGAATACAGTATTTGTTGAAGTAGGAATTTAAGTACTCCGATCACCTGCAGAAAATATTTCTAGAAGGTTCGTATTGAGTAGCGGGAAAATTCAATGCGAATGTCTAAATAAGAAGAGTATGCTAAAAATACAGTTGCCATATCGTGTACGATTTCAATGCGAAACTTAGGGTTACCACAATATGATTTGTACTCCTTTACTGTTAGTACGGATTGAAATTATAACCGTATTTTAATATCCTGTTGCGTTATTTAAATCAATAGCCGCAACTCAGAAACTCATACGATCGAATGCTTTTACCACCAAATACTCCAATTGTTAAATTAGCGTTGCGGTACTTATACCACATCAAAACAAAGGCTCATCCGACCAATCGATACAATCAATAATTCGTTAAAAAAATATATATGTAACAGTACTTAGCGCTTGTCTAGTTTTGCTAAATGTGTAAATACTTGAAAGTCAAAAAATCTGGCACTTTTAAAATACTTCAAGCTAATCCCTACCCTCAAATGGAGTGTTTAACTATTTTACAGCTGTGGATAAAAAAATAGAACCCAATATATTTTTACTGGTTTTTTTTTTAGTGTCTGTAAAGTTCACATTCGACATTTTATTCATACTGAGAACAAGATATGGGCAAAATACAAGATTTTCTACGTAATAGTGGTCTCACGTTTTTTCACACGCGAACGCGATGACTTAAAAGGTGTTCACACGAAGCAATTTTACAGGCAATTTTCGAGGTGATTAGGTAAATCACAAGTTTGCTGCCCCCCAATTTCATTGAAAGCGATTAGTTAAAAGGCCGTTCACACCAGGCGATTGTTGCTTCCAACTAAAAGTTGCTTGTAAAATCGCCTCATGTAAACACCGTATTAAGCGTGCACTACTGGGCATCAATAAACAAATTGTCATATAAGGTATCTGAGGGTGTTCTCCGTCGAGTGGAAAATATTTTTACTGAAAATCAAGACATACATAAGTACATATTTAAGTGTCTGCTTTTGTTTTGTGGAAGCAAAAAAAAAACGTTACTTGAAACTTTGCTACGCTTTTGCATCACAGCCTATGGTGGTCATAGGCTTACTGTTGATTTAAAAAATAAAAAATAAATAGCACAAAAGAATATTACACCGATTATATAAATGTATACATACCTATGTATGCACACGCATACATACATATGTACATCTGCTTTTATTATTATTTTGAACACAACTGTTAAAATGCAAGTAGACAGCTTAGGTACTTACATATTTGTAGATGGAGTGATTACAGGAGGCCTACCTACTGTCTACCAAGTGTTATTCATTTAGCAATCTTAGTTTATTTAATACAAGTACCACTCAAATTACTAGACAATTTCTTGCTAAGCTGAACATTAGAAATTTTGTTTTGTAAAACTATTTTATAAACTGTTGCTATGCACTTAAATATACAACATTTAATTGCATACTTCGCGTTTCACTTGAATAGACATATTGTTTTTCTTAGACGTTTATGCTTTACCTCCTTTTCACCTCAAAAAATAGGGAAAGACTTTTGATATTTATATATAAGATAGCTTCTAGGGGAACCGATATTTATTTATATTTTTTGGCATAATAGTAACTTGAATGGGAGCCGACCTGAGTTGTCAATCACACCTTGTTTAATACACCTTGAATGTAACTATAACTAAATTATGTGTTGAGTGAAATATATTTAGCTGACTTTTTTCTGGGTATAGAAACGCCTCAAATAATATTAAGGTACACAAATACCATTGCAGACCCCCTAGATTTAAACCACAGTTGTGCACTGGAAAACATTGGTGGCAAGACTATTGCATACGCCGACGATACTGTACTAGCTATCTCCTATCTCGGGTAAACACCTCTCAACATTAGCCGATCTAATTCAAAGATCTCTTAATGAACTATGACTATGGTGCAACAGGCGAGGATTTGGAATCAATACTGAAAAGACGGACTTAGTGCTTTTTACTAGGAAGCACAAGATACCCGACCTCGACGCTATAACTCTAGAGGGAAAAACCCTTGAAGTAAAGGAAGAAACCAAATATCTAGGTCTCATACTTGATAGGAAACTAAACTGGGGGCCGAATATTGCATATAGAGTGCGCAAAGCAACAGTAGCACTATATTCTTGCTGCACCCAAACCCAAAATAATACACTGGCTATACACAGCGGTAGTTAGGTCAATTCCCTATCACGGCATAGTGGTATGGTGGGACACACTTGGGAAAAGGGTAAACTTTAAAAAGATGGATGAGGTCCAAAGGCTCGCGTCCTAACTCATAACTGGTACAATGAGAACAATACCATCCAAGGCACTGTATGCCCTACTGAACTTTCTTCTGGTAGATCTACATGCCAAACAAATTGCAAGCGTTGCTGAAATTCGTATGAATAGCCGAAATAAGTGGTCAAACACCGGTTATGGTCATGGTAGATTAACGAAGTTTTAGGAGCTTCCCGGATCGTTGGACTATGCCCTTCTCTACTACTCTGATCTTACTACAGCGTTTACGACCCTCCCACCCTCAAGGGAAGAGTGGGAACGAGACGCTCTAAGGAGTGGCGAGTCCATCCATGTATACACAGATGGCTCAAAGCTCGAGGCTGGTGGGGGTGTATACTCCGAACAACTGGGAATCTCCCTTAGCTTTCGTCTTCCGTCTGGCAAACGACCGAGCCACAAAAGTGGTAAAGTGTGACATGATATTCCATGCTGATATCTACATCTTCACTGACAGCCAGGCGGCAATTAAATCCCTTACGAAGCAGTCGACAACCTCCATGGTAGCCATGAAAGGCCGCACATCTCTTAACGAGACGGCTGAGTCATTTCAAACAAAGGTGATATGGGTTCCGGGACGCTGCGACATTGAAGGGAACTGCAAGGCCGATGAACTGGCGCGACTTGGCCAAACTCCCTATTGAAGATATAAACGATGAAATAGGAATACCCTTACAAACTTGCAAGCTGCTTATCTCCGAGAGGCTCACTAAAGTAGCGAACAGAAGATGGCACGACGAAATCACCTGTGCAACTGCCAGGAAACTATGGCCAACGCTCAGCGCTAAACGCACTGGCCTCCTACTGAGCTTAAATAAGCAGAATATCAGTTTGTTAGTATTTGTTATAACAGGACACTGCCTAATTGGCAGGCATGCCTATCGACTGGGCGTACGGCTACATGACATGTAGAAGTTGTCAAGATGAAGAGGAGGAAACGATTCTGCACCTGTTGTGCCAGTGCACTGCTCTATACAGACGAAGACTTTCCACACTGGGTACACTGGGTTCTGGAGGACCTTAGATGTGTCGAAATCAAGGATCTTCTAAAATTCCTGCGAAGCTCAAAACTGTTTTAGGGGGGATTGGGAGCTACTGACCCCACATACGGTATCACAATGGGCCCGCGACAATCTACCTACCTACTTATCCGAGCCGTTTGATACCAAACGAGGTCTCCGACAAGGTAACTCTCTTTCGTGTGATTTCTTTGATGTTGGATAAGATAATAAGAGCCGCAGAACTGAACCGCTCAGGCACAATACTTTCCAAGAGCGAACAACTGCTGGCGTATGCCGACGATATCGACATTATCGGTAAAAGCAAGAACTATGTCTGTTCTGCCTTCTCGGGATTAGATGGCAGCGTAGCAAAGCGAATGAGTTTGATGGTGAACGAGGACAAAAGTATCTCCTGTCATCACATAAACAGTCAGAGCATACGCGTCTTGGCACCCACGTCACTGTTGACAGTTACAAGCTTAAAAAAGTAGATAATAATGTCGGCCTTGAAATGTCAGCCTTGAAATCCGAAGAATCACTCTTACCAAAAAGTGCTACTTTGGATTGAGCTAGCAATTGAGAAGTAAAGTCCTCTCCCGTCGTACAAAAATCACACTCTATAAGTCACTGATCATGCCTGTCCAGGTGTGTGGCATGGACAATGAAAACATCTGATGGAAGTGGCTCCCTGGTGTTTTCGAGAGAAAGATTCTGCGAAAGATTTACGGGCGTTTACGCGTTGGCTATGGCGAATTCCGGAGACGATTTAACCATGAGTTGTATGAGCTTTATAACGATATAGACATAGTGCAGCGAATTAAAATCCAGCGGCTCCGCTGGCTGGGTCATGTCGCTCGAATGTACAGAAACGCTCCGATGCTGGCAACAGAGGAAGGCGAAGGCCTCCTCTGCGTTGGAAACATCAGGCGCAGAAGGACTTGGCTTCACTAGGTATTTGGACTCGGCCAAAATCGCTTCAATGGAATATCTGTCAAAAAAGCTGCAACCAACTTAAGAGTCGGGCTTTTTTCCACGATGAATATGCCCAATTGATTTTTTGATCTTAGGTTCAGTCTGAAATTTCCATTCTTCAGCTCTGCTTTCTATGTACCCACCATGCAAAACATGAGAAAAAGGCAACAATCATCAATGGCAACAAATTGGCGACTCACCGATTTATTGCTGTGGTGACAAATCGGCAACACCACTTCGTTCATGTCAATTTTGAATAAAAAAGTTCTCAAAAATTCGGAAACTTATGAATATGGCGTCAATAGCATTGGCCAAAAGCATCTAAATTATGCCCAAGGACAAGATTGAAAAAATAGGAAGTCTCACAGCGAGAAAATGAATTAATTACGAATGTAAGTTGCAATTTGGTATACAAAAAAATAAATGAAGTATTAAGAAGAATAAAATTATTCCAAATATCGCCTGAAGCGATAAGAAAAGGACTCATTCAGGTAATAAGAAAACGACTCACCCAGGCGAGTTGCCTTCGGCGGACGTTTTAGAGCGACCGGTAATAGGAAATCGATTCGATGGCAATATTACCGGCAATAAATTTGTTTCCGAGGGCGACACGTTTTCTTATTGCCGGCAACACAAATTGTTTGGTGGGTAGTTACATATGTATGTATGTTTGCATATACATATGTATGTTTGTATGTATTTGCACGGTGTAAAAGCTGCCTCTGCCTATGACTGTTATAAATCAGTGATGATCAGATAGTGCTTTTACTCTGTACCCGTCTCTTTTAAAATTTTTAAATTAAAATAAAGCTTTAAAATTAATCTCCTGCGGGATATTTTTTGAATATACATCACTATTGGACACTGCCTTGCCTACGGACCAAGCTCTTTTAAGCTTTCTATATACTTTGTACGGTGCCTGCAGAGTAAAAGCTCTATCTGCCCATCGCTGTAATATATTAATGCTCGAATTGGTGATGTGCACCGCTTTGCCCTCATGCAGAGCTTTCTAAGCTTTTTAAACATTTTGCATAGCAAGCTGAAACATAAAACTTTTATATTGGAATATAAGCATCTACAATACATACCGATGGTCCTGTGCTAAAACAACACAATTCAAAACTCAAAAAATAAAAACTTACTACTGTTAAGTGGTTTATGTCTCCAATCCTTGTCGAATCCATGTCTTATCTTTTGTACTTACTTTAGCAATCTTTACTGCTTACTTTAGTAAGGTATGGAACTGGATTTTATGCCACCACCGAACAACAAATGGGGCGAACGCTGTTAGAAAAACTTTTTCTAAATAAGATGTTGCTCAAACCAGGCATCAAACCCAGGTCTTACAGAGTGGTAGCACGCACCTTTAACCACTCAGCCACAGTGATCACCAAGCTAGCAAAAGATTATCAAAAAAATGTAGCCTAGCTAAGCCCCTTCCTTTCCCAAGCAGTTACTGTGTTCTAATTATGAGTCTCAAGGAGAAGCAACAGAG